GTGTCTAAGACTGTGTGTTAGAATAACAAGAATTCTCAGAATTCTTATTCCATGTAATAAAATAAAGAAGAGGAAATTGTGATCTTCTAGGAGCTAGTTTGGTTATCTCATGGTTAACATACTAACACCGCATTGTGAGAGGCCTTCATTTCTAGTGCTCTCATATAAAATGCATGTAGATTAAGAGCAACTGCTAATCTGGCATTTCATTGGTGTAATTATTTCTGGGGATCACTCTATTCCTCCTAAAAGAGTTGTGACTACCATTAGCACTACTGTAGAATGGCCAATCCCAGGAGAACATAACTAGACATGAAAACTGAGTTACTTTATCCCTTTTAGCTGTGAGGATCTTTATATCTGGTCTGTACATCTCTTCTGTATTATAGCAGATGGCAGAAACAGTCTCATTTTAGGGTAGTTAATCTGGCTATTAGAAACACTGCATTCACTTTAAATTCATTCATTCCATGACTTCACCTAAGGTAAAACAAAGAACAGCAAGAAACTGATTCTGAACACTAAAGTGTGCAATTTCTTTCAGATGGACATAGCTACACAGATTTAGTAGGATGTGTGCATGCATATGTTTATGTGTGTTTGTGTGTTTATTGCTTCAGAATTGCCTAGAGTTACATCATCCCAAGAGATATATTCAACCCTGGATGCTCAGATGGAATATGATGTTTGCACATAAAATGATAAGGTTTTGTGAGGCATTCAGACAGGAAGGTCAGGTGAAGCAGTTATAAAACAGATGCTAACACTGCTTTTGTGGCAGAGTCCTCCGAGGTAGGTTGCTGTGTGATAGGCTAGTCTGTGTTCTAAAAATATTTACCCTGGATTTTTTATTTGAAAATAACTTTAACCAACCACAAAAATTTGTTTATTTGAGATGACATTAAATACATTTTCAATTGTATGCATATTTTATTAACTAGGAAAATTGTTCTAGTGACTAGGATAAATGAAAGTAGCTTTAAGACCATCTACATTCTTGCAGTGATTTGGTTTTGAACCAATAAATTAATTTGCTATTTAAAAAAAAAAAAAAAAAAAAAAAAGCAATTATCAGAGGGAAAGCTTTATCCAAGACATTTGTGTATCAATCTGTTCTATATCTCATTTTATTTTGGGCAGAAAACCTGGTAATTCAAGTGAACAATCATTTGCCCCCCTCCAAAAAAAAAAAGAAAGAAAGATCAGCATCACATTTTATTATTGGTATTAAACATTCATCACATTCAGTAAAGGATACATATATATGTGCTTATGTGATAATGATAAATGTGTGCTTGTGTGCATGCAAGTGCTTGTGCCTGTTGTGCACAGTCTGAGTGGATTATATTGAAATACACTGCTGATGGGTTAGATACCAGAGTTGGAGGGATTGAATATAAGTGGAGCTGAACAGCAAGGAGGCTGAAGATATATGAACCTCATTGGATCTTTCAGGATCTCTCAATGCGATACACACTCTCACCATCCCCTCTCAAAATGATTCATAGTGGTCTGGACGTGGGGTCAGCAGCCTTTGGCAGATACATTTGTAAGATGCCCATCAGATGACATCTTTCATCTCTCACTAGGTATCTCGTGGAATACATAACAGATAATTTGAGAAAGAAATATATATACTGGTATACCACATGTTTATTCCCACTGTGATATAAAACTGCAAATGTGTTAATGCTTTTTGTATACATTCACCTAGCAGTCCAAATTTGTTTGCACTAAAGGCATAAATCTGTCTTTAATATAGGAGATCATGCTTATGTTCATTTGAAGAAAATAATACTAGTAAGAAAATAATACCTAGTACTAGCTTTGTTTGCTTTTTTTTCTTTTGTTGGTACTATAGTCAGTTTCGGTTACAAAAGCAGTTGCTTTATTGTTATCTTTTGAAAGCTACCTAAGGCTAAGTTCTGGGAAGTGTTAACTTTCTGCCCTCATCAGCTATCAGTGTTAGTTTCATAGAACAGTCTGCACAATCAGCATCCCAACTACCTTTAAAATCACTGTGAATAAATACATTTCTTCAAGATGCAAAGCTTGGAAAGTATCCAGTCATTTCTATGGGCGGATTGATGTCTTCCTGTTAGCTCACCATAAAAACCCAACTTGAGAATTCTACAGTCAGTCTTTTACAATATTTTAATCATGGTGATCAGTAATCAAAAACGTGTGGTTTGAAGTCAAGAATGTTAACCTGTGCATATTCACTTACTTATGCCCTCCTAACACAGACTTTTAAAGACAAATGGGCCCATTTATAAAATGAACTCCACATTTAAGTACGGGATTGGGGCTGTTTCCACTGCGTAATAATGAAAAAGCTTTTTTTTTTTTTTTTTTTTTTTTTTTTTTTGAGTGTTTCCACAAAAACATTTATTTTTAATGCTTCTTTGTTTTAGTCAAACAGAGATAGGTTCTGCATTAGTGTCATTCAATGTTCTTGTGCCCATTTCATTTAGTTTTGACATATTCTCCAGTCTTCCAGGAATATGCATGTTTGTGCATGTTCCTCCTCCCTGCCTGTAAAGACAGGCACCCATCAATACTTCAGTTTTATGACACCTCAATATTTTTTTCTCAGTATATTTTGAAAACTTTGACAGCACAAATTTGAAAGTGTCTGCTTTCTCATGTGTTCACCTGCTCATCTCTTCTTGTTTAACTCCTTATCCTTATATGCCAATAGATAATATCAGTAAATCCCTGTGGTTTAATCTCCAAAATGTCTCAAAAATCTCCTCTTTCCTTTTCATTCTCCTCATAAAATCTTTGTCAAATCCATCCTTCTCCACATCCATGCTTACTGCGACCTTGCTGTCTTCAGCCTCTAACTGACACTCACATTAGCCAGTTTTTAAAGTAGTCTAATGCAAAAGTAATCCACTGCTCCCAGTATTGAGATCTCATTAAGATATTCCTAAATCCCCCTTCTTCGCTGTCTCCCTATTGCCTTCCAAATCTGATCGAAGCTCCTTTTATCACCCAGAGTTCCTCTTGACCTAACCTTCCTTGTTCTGTCCTTCTTGTACTGTTCTTCCTCATCTTCCGTCTTTGCGTGCTTCCTCCTCACCCATTGCCAGCTACAATACAAACCATTTGCCAATTAGACTTGTGCACCTCATTTCACTTTGTCCACTGCACCCAAGAATAGGGTAGGTCAATAGTACTGTTCCAGATCACATATCCTAATGAAAGATTTGTACCTTTGACTGTCAAAAAGTGAGTTACCCCGCATTTTTCCAGCAAAAAATAAAAGAAGTTTTTTGCCTTCTTACAGTGAAGTTTTGTCCATCATCCACAATTTCTCCAATGTGCTTAGGCCTTGAATCAGAAAATGAATTCAAGTTCTCCCTATAAACATACCAACGCTATGATTCAAGAGACTGGTTTCCAACCCATTGATCTGAACATTACTTGCAGAAAGCCGCTGTCTAGGTGAAACTGAAACTTCCATCTCTGACTTTTCACATTTTCAACTCTTAAGACCTAAACCTTAAGTTGTAACTTTTTTCTGTCACTGCTTGCATGTTATTAAACACTTCTTAAACTGATCTGGGGAGTAAAGGGATAAATAGATGCAGTTCCTGCATTACAGGATTTCCAAACCCAGCCTTATGAGTCAGCTGAAATTCAGCAGCAAGAGTGGCAAGTTAGGACTAGCCAAGCTCTTGACAGAGCACATGCCGGCACAGAGGACAGGACATGCAGATCAAAGCTCCACTCAGTTTATCTGACTTTCTGTTCCTCTGTTTCTCAGTGCATCAGATTCCGGGAAAACTTAAGAAAACAAACTCCTAGTCCCTTCCTCTCTTCAAGTCCTCCCCACTCCCAGCAAATAAATCAAAAAAGAGAAAAACATTCCTCTTACACCTGGACCCTTTGTTCATTATTCTGTGGTTCGTAGAAAACTAACATCCGGTTACTGGAGCTTCCTCTCTCCTTACCAAGGTGTGACATGAGTGCTTTGTGCCAACCAGACAAATACGTGCTATTTCTACATGCTTCACTCTTCCCTGGTCAGAGCAGAGGTTAACCCCATTGACTCTAGTGAGAAGTGATCATGAGGATGCTGGAAAACAATGAAAAGAAAACAGTTCATAACTGGCTTAGAAAAAATGTTGCCACACTCACAACTATGAATAATTTCTATAAGAACACTGATGCCTCCTCTTACCAAAATCAGTTCTCTACCAAAATTTCAACTTGAAAAATTAGTAATTATACCTGAGGTATTTTGGCAACTCTGACCATGGCAAGGAGATTGGAGCCATTGTATGATTCTATGATACTGTGATTTTAGTAACAATGACATTCTACAGCCCATATCCATTTTGTTTATCAGGTAGTTCTCTGGTCTTCCAGGACCATGTCCCTTTTTTTGCATCTCCCTCTGCTTTCCTCTATGAAGACTGACATACATCAATGCTGAAGTTTTACAGTGTTTCATTACATGAGATGTCCTTCCCAAGAAGCTGAGATAACTGGATTGTATACTGCCACGTCCATGGATAATATAAGCACATCCCAAAATCTCAGTTATTAGGATGCTATGAGGAGGATACAGTAGCTCACACATTTAGCACAGATGTGCCAAATGCTTTATCAAATTTGCTGTATCATAAAATCATAGAATTACAGAATGGCTTAGGTTGGAGGGGACCTTAAAGATCAGCTTGTTCTATCCCTGCTATGGTCAGGGCTGCTGACCAATTGATCAGGCAAATCATTAAATAAATGGATTAAATATGTCCTTTTATGCGACACCCTGCTTCATTCCCACTAATCCACAGAAACAGTCTCCTTCAGCTCCTGAGATTCCTGGCCATACAATTGCCTTCCTGTGCCTTTCCTCCCAGCCTGTATGTCTTTGTTTTTCTCACAAAGCACAGCTCAGTGGATTTCCTGTACCACCTCACAGGCCATCGCCCTTAAAGCAACACTGCTTGTCTGCAGTAAGGATCTATCTCCAACACAAAGAAAGCAGTTTGAAAATTGCAGTTATCCAGGGCTGCCTCCAAAAAAATGGCTCTTGGGGCTCATGTGTTCTCATCTCATTAGAAAAAGGTGGAAGGAAGCATGTAACCCATTACCTCTGAGCTCTGGCCAGTTACTAATCTCTTCCACACCTTCCTCATACTCCCTGATCTGCTCCACCATCCAGCAAGCTCTATTTCACTCTTTCCATCCTCATCCTCCCCCTTCCCTGAGCACTCTCCAAGCAGTTCCTTTAACCCATCCTCCTCTAACCCACTCATCCCTGCACCTTCTCTGATAACTCCTGTGAGACTTGACTGCAGCTTCTCTTTCATTTTCTCATTTATTCCCTTTTCGTTTATTCCCTACTGGCCAGAAGACCAGGTTCTCAGCCCCTCCCAGCCCTCCACGTTCTGCTTGTGAGTCTCAGGATCTTTTGGGAACGCAAAGCTTGGGAGAAAGGGCATTGTCAGGGCAGCGCCTATACCAGGACTTTGCTTTCCTAATAGGCATGTGCACATATTTTGCACATGATCATACATTTTAAGGCAGGAAGATTTTTTCTGTGACACAGGGGCTCAGCACCAGGCGCCACACAGCAACAGCATCACCAATGAAACTGCTGCCATTCCTAGGTAGGTAAAATCTTCTTCCCAGGGGAGCAATGGCAAGTGGGAAGGGAGCGGGGTCTAGCAAACAACCTATGGGGACAGAGATATGGGGCTGGAGAGAACGAGTGTGTTGAAGTTAATGGAAAACAACTGATACGAGGACTTAAAGTCCACACAGCTGTGACTTGTGCTGCTGGTTACAGGATTGAGAAGTCCCACTGTTAGGTTTGCCCTAAAACTGAATCCTAGAAATAACAATCTTTATTTTATTGTGGGTTTTATTCCATATAGACAGATTTATTATGGGTTTTGGTGTTTCCTTTTTTTTTTTTTTTTTAATTCCCACTGTCTCTCTGAGAGATTTTTAGATTTCACTTGTTAAGAACAATAAAGTGACAACAGACTCCTACAGGTTTCTGTTTTAATCTCTATGAGATGGTCTCCTTTCTTAAAAACAGAGAAGGTGAAACTTGATGATACATAAATTGGTTTGGATTATATGTAATTGTTAAAATTTGTGTGTAAGTTGTAGCCTTTTTAATTTTTCATTTTTTTGTGTGTGTGTGTGTGTGAAAAAAATACACCTCGGTGAGATTTCATGAAGCAATGAAACCTATAATTGTAACACAAGACTAGCAAATATCCAAAATAATATCTGAGTAGGGAAAAGCAGAACTGCAGGGAAAGACAGGATCAAGAAGGAGCTTTGTGTTCTGCAACTTTCATTATGTCTAGCTAACCATTTATACAGTACAAATTCAGAAACTTACTTTCCTTTCTGAGTTAACTGCCTCTATTTCTAACCCATTATAGGGTGTGTATAATTATTCAGTGAGCTGTTAGTTTTCTCACAGGGAGAGGTTCTTTTTCTTCTTATGTGCTATACACATTCATACAATGGGAAAGTAGTTATATCATGTGGGATTTGTTCAGTGGATGGAAAAAAAGAGTACAGTATATTCATAACATGGAAATGGTATTTTAAGAGATTATTTTTAAATAATTTGGAGAAGATTTTAAAACCCTAATGCCACAATGTTGTAAATACCATGACATGTCAATTTAATCTCTCAGACCATGCGTGTGTATTAGCTGCATATGTATGGAAGTGCTTATAAAAATAAAAAATCTGATCTAGGGAATCCTCTGCGGTATTTTTCACTTGATATGTGTAGGGCAGTTTGGATTACACTCCATACATAATTCAGAGTGCAAATAAAAGTCTGTGCTTTATTGGAAAGTACTAGAAAGCTCTGAAAGCCTTTCAAATGTTTTCCCTAGATCACTGAGTAATTTCTACATTGCTTACTAGTTTGATATTGGTTGAATGTGTACACAGGTTCTCATCTCTAGTGTCTGCTATTTCTAGCTCCTGAGTGGTTTTACCAAAGAATATGCAGCAGCTGGTGGCCATCACCCCATTGTGCAATGCTGCTGACTCTGCGATAATATTGCGTTTACTGGGATATCCCAATTTCATGGATACTTTTCACCCAGGTCTGATTTTAGAGCACATTATGAATTTTTTAAGTGAATAAATATGTTTTTTCTTTGTTCCAGTTTTGGTTTCCAGTCTGCTGGACTATGGCTATACTACAGGAAGCTGCAACATGACATGCCACAAAGATGCACGGTGTGAAGTTCAGGGTGGGACACAAGGCTGCTATTGCTCCCAAGGATACACGGGAAATGGCATTACCTTCTGTTACGGTAAACAGATTTTCCTTATGTGCATTTCTGATATCTGTTTTCTTGAAAAAATTATTCAAGAACCAATTAACTCAATGACTAAATTCTGTTACAACACCTTATGCTAATACACTCTCAATGCCAAACATTAAGAACTTGGCAGTTTCCAAGAAATTCTACAACTCAGCTTCAAACAAAGCTTCTCTCAATTGTACATAAACTGTTTTCCAGCTTTAGTCTTGGTGCATAGAGTCCTTTTCTACAGAAACGCTGAAACATCATCTCTGTTTTAGCTTCAGCAATTTCCTTTATGACTTTGGTCTTCTGAAGCTTGGGATTGGCACAACCACTACTTTACTACTCTCACAACTCATTCACACACACATAGCACTAGGCCACTCTTCTCAGCCTCTAATCATGATCAAAAAAATATAGCTCCTGAGATACTCTGGAAAACTGAGGAGGTGTGTGTACCATAGGGAAATGGTACGTGTGAAGCCAATATTCATTTTGTTTCACTACAGCTACAAGACAAGGAAATATGCTAGAAATCCTACACAGAGGTTGCTTCTGGATGCCTTTATGTTCCATCCAAAGAAAAGGCTATCTTCTCTGCCTTCAGTTTTGAGTTGTCCTATACTATGTGTAGTTCTAATACTTATCCGCACTATTAAATGTAGCTATGCTCAACTGCAGGCAGGCAGAAATGTATATGACTTATGCTAGCTTTTAGTGTCCTGAGAAGTAGTTATGAATATTAACCAGCCATTTAGTCAGTTTTTGTGTTTCATGCATCTTGGTAAATTAAGTAATAACAAGCACATCAGTTTCATATAAGTGTAGACAAGCTGCCCACCTTTACTGTGGGTTTTTATGCTTCTTTTACCATGATCTACTTGGAAGTGTATTTGTTTTAGGGAAATTTAGAATGCAAAGACTTTCTGTCTGACAAACCTTTTATAAACTGGGAATGTTTAGGGAGAAACATTGCTGTTTAAAATAATAAGCAATGAAGAATCAAAAATTATAGGATAGTTTGAGAGAGAGCTCTGGAGGTCATGTGCTCTAGCTCTCACTCAAAGCAAGCCCTACTTAGAGAAGGCTTCTCAGGGTCTTGACCAAGTTTCAGTTATCTCCAAAGATGAAGATTACAGATCTCTCTGGGCACTCACTCTAGTGTTTGGCTACCACAATTTTATTTTTTATATTCCGATATCTAGTTGGAGGTTTTCTTGTTCTATCTTGTAGTTGCCTCTTCTGTGCTCTTTTCACTTACTGCAGTTCTAAGAATAGCTTATCTTCATCTTCTCTAGAAACTCCAGAACCATTAGGTAGCTATAGAAGGCAGTAAGATTTCTCCTTGATCTTCTCTTCTGTAGCCTGAACAATCCCAGTTTTCTCAACCTGTTCTTTGCATCATCATGTGTTGTGCAGTCACTAAATATGTTACTTGAATGTAATGCAAACCTTGCCATACGTATAGGTCGTTATTTGTGTATAGAGCTGGCCAAATTAAAATAAGAAGAAATGGCCTTTACCTCAATACTGTATTATTATCCATTGTATTTGGACTAATTTAATTTTACTACTATGAGTAAGCTTCTTGACTTGAATGTTAACTGCATATTTGCAAAATGCCTACACTTGTGAATAACACAGAGAAATAAGAAAACCAAGTGAATTTTTTTTTGCAGTAGTACCTGGAACAACTCAAACTAACACTTCCTGATGTTGTCCTTCACTGATATTACTGACATGATTAAATCCATACATTGTGCATGCCTTCTAAGGTGTTATTAAAGGATGGTGTCATATAGGGATGGATTTATCTTACCTTACATGTTTTTTTTTTTCTCATGTGGTATCTTTTCCTCAATTTCATTTTTTCCCTTATTTTCTTAGGGAAATCTGCACTGAAAATCATAAAAACACTTATTGGTCATTTAAAGAAAAATTCAGTATGGCGAAACAGGCATGTTTGTTAATTACAAAGTTTATGAATCAACTAATTGTTTATTAATAATTGTACTAAATGTTTGGAAACTCAATCTTTAAAAACAAAATTTCCAATATTAGTCCAAGCATACCACTACTAGATTTATTTTTGGTGCTTTGCATTTCAGTGGCAATGCTTTGAAGCAAGCCTCAGTTCAGCAGATCAAATTTTTTTCTGGTAAAATACCTCAACAACAACCAAAGTCACTTACCCTACAGCTATGTAGCAAAGCTTGTATCAGAACAATATGGCTGTTGTCCCTGAAAGAAAGCCTATGTTTCTCTAGGGCAGTATGTTATACAGCACATTATTAATACTGTGCAGCAGATCTCTATTAGCATAAACAAGTAACTTGAATTTTAATTTTAATTGGGTAGCCTCTATAAAGGATCAGAAATATAGGCTGAACCCTATCATAAACACTTTAAAGCAATGAAAATGTAAAGTAAAGCCTCAGTTATTTAATGATGTATTAGATTTCACTGTTCTGTATGGAGAATGCTGCAGGTGTATTTGCTGTTCTACAGATAGCTACCCATTTTTCTTCAGTTAATAATCTTAGGCTTTTATAATGATAGTCCAGTCACCTTCAAAGGAGATCATCAATTATGTGCTAATACAGGCATTTTCTAAAGAGTATTTATGGCTTGCTATGTTTACTTTTGCCCTTTTTGTTATTTACATAGGTTGCAAGAGTCATAATTACTTTCATCAATGTTAATAATTCTACACAGTGTAGAACCATCTTCTTCACTGTAGGCAGCTAAACCACATAAGTGGTTGTTTAGAGAGTTTCTACTAAAAACAAAATTCTTTCTCCTTGTAAAAATGTTGAGCAAAAAAATTGCTAGTTTTCAGCTTATACAGCTGAAAAAGTGTCCCCTTTTATTTATAGAGACATTCTCAAAGTATTTAAAAGGTTTTTTCTACTTTTTCTCTATTTTTTGCTTGCTCATAACACCTCTTAAATGTTTGTAAAAGTTATTTCTTTACTAGCTCTGTCTTTTCAATGTGATACACATTTTCCCTTGAGTTTACTGTGCTGCAAAAGGCAATAATGCCCTGTTACATTTATTTCCTAGCACCATTATTGATGAATCATGAATCACTGATGTCAGCATACCTCAGGAATGGGGTTTGTTAGTTTTTACTTTGCTCCCTTTGCCAGCTGGCTAAGTGACTGCAGAGAGCTCAAGATTATTGGATTTGTTGTGTATAGATAAAGACACATAGATATGAATTTAATTTCCTGGTGTCAAAGTCATGGCTTTTAAAATAATTATCCTCTTACAGTCTTTCCCATAAGATTTCAACCACTTTAAATTAGGTGATGTTTTGGACTTTCTGAAGACATCCTTTGGACAGAGTAACAAAAAGCTAATCCTCTGTCGTTGTCTTCTCTAAGAATGTGTGCAGGAATGCACATAATCAGGAGAATAACTGATTGTAGGATCTGGCTTCTTGAGTGTATTGGAATTATGACCTACATAGCAATAAATTCCTTCTGTACAACATCTTCCAGAAAGCAATAAATGAGTCACCTTGTCAAGCTTTACACCTCTGAGGTAGAAAATACCATCCCATTCTTCTTTTGTATTTATATTTCTTCTTTTATGTAACATAAGACAAGAGAATGGCCTCTGAAAACTGTTTTCCTTTTAGGGTTCAGTTTTTGTGCAGATGTGTATTTTAAATGTAATTCATGAGGTTTTAACTTCATATTATCATGTATCAAATTGAAGTTAAACAGCTAAAGGTCTTGGCAAAAAAATAAAATATATCCAAACAGTACTGATTTCTAGATACGTTAACTTCCTCTTGTGTGAAAATGCCACAGATTTTGTACTAGCAAATAGCATATATTTGCCACTTCTGTAAAGTTATTCATGTGAAAAGTCAGCTGTATAAATTAGGTGTTGCCAAAATCCCAGTGTTCTTCCAAAACAACAAAATTAAAAGGAAACAAACAAAATTTCAGATCATACATAAAACTTTAAAGAAGCTCATATTTTATTTTTTAAACAGAAGGAAGAATGAGTTGGCATCTTTGATGCTTTCCCAAGCAGCTCTGCTGTTTCAATACTGGCTGCTTCTTGATTGCTGACTGCCAATTTGCTGATTTGCTGGCACACTGCAGGAAATTAAAGTAAACAGTGTGATCACAGTGTTTACTTTAACTTTGTAAAATATGGAAGGAAAATGAAGCAATGTTGTTTGTTCCAGGAGGGTAGGCAGGCAAGCAGGAAAAGTCTGAACACAATATTCCTCCCAAATAACCCTGAACAATTTTCCCTTGTAAATGCCACTTGCACACCATACTACAAAAATTAATCAGTCTCACTTGTAAAATACTTACAGATCTCCCAGAAATAGTGAGCAGGGACTTAGGCTATCGGGGAAACTTTGCACTGAAGTGGGACACTGACTGTCTTTTGAAATGCAATGCAGTAGGATTTATGATTTTCCAGAGGCAAAAAAATACATCAGTGCAAAGTGGTATTTTATATCAAAATACAGAATCCCTCTGCGAATGCAGAACAATTTATGTAAACGCAACTGAATCAATTGAAAGCCTACTCCAAGTCTGAATGCAAACATATTTTCTTGTTTTACTGAGGGTCATACTACCAGCTCTCTTCTTTTGGCAGTTCTTAAAGAGGCTTTCTTGTGAGATATCAGCTTCTTGCTTTAAGGTGATGTTAATGCGTCCCACCACTGACTTTTATTGCCGGCACTGAGTTTGTTTTGATTCATCAGTGTCGCCATTCTACAGCATTCACTAGGTATATAATTTTAATGGAATTTCACCTTTCAAATTAACATGATCCTGTAAAACCACTCTATGTAATCACTGCATTCTACCCAGAAGTAGCAAATGATCTAATCCAAATGCTGGCTTACAAGTGGAAGTTTTTTTGTTACCAGCAGGCATACATCACAGGATGTCACTTCTGTGTTTACCAAATAGTCTGAAATCACTGATACGGAAGATCCAACCCACACGCTTCCTAAATTCATTTCACTA